TTTTGTGTGTGTGTTTTTTGTTTTGTTTTGTTTTGTTCTTCTTGTTCTAGTTCCCTGAGTTGTTTAATTAGGTTGTTTATTTGCCAACTTTCTGCCTTTTTCCTTATGGTCACTAATTGCCATGAACTTCCCTCTTATGATTGCCCTTGCTTTGTCCCATAGGTTATAAACTCTTGGTTTCTATGTATCTTTTGATTTCAGTCTTCATTTCTTTTGTAGTTGTAAAGTCATTGAGGAATAGGTTGTTAAGTTTCCATATGTTTGTGCATTTTTTTTTGAGAGATTTTCACTGTAAGGGCGCGTGCGCTCGCCAGACAGACAGAGAGTGACATAGAGACAGAAAGCGAGAAATCACCCCCCAGGGGGGATGGTCACGCCGCAATCCCTTCTCCTTCATTCTCCTCTTGGGATCTTGGGCACGCACGCACACGCGCCCGGCGTGAGTTTTAAGCCTGGGGGAATGGCCACGCCACAATCCCTTCTCCTCCATTCTCCTCTCAGGATCTTGGGCACACACGCACATGCGCCTGGCATGAGTTTAAGCCACTGGGTCCGGGACTTGAACCGTGGACAATTACATGGGAGTTCAGCGACATAGCCATTACGCTAACTGCTGGTCCCACTAGATATAGTTTCTATACTTTTGAATTTGTAAAAGCTTGTTTTGTGCCCTGTCACATGGTCAATCTTTGAAAATGTTCCATGTGGGAGTGATAACAATGGTCTTATGTCTCTTTATTTTTTTCTAGATGATCTGTCCAGAGGAGATGGGGTGTTGAAATCCCTTACAGTTACTGTGTGCAGTCTATCTCTCCCTGAGATCTAACAGTCCCTCTGATATATTTAGGTGATCCAGTGTTAGGTGCATAGATATTTACAAGTGTTGTATCTTCTTGGTGAACAAGTACTTTTATAATATAAAATAATGTCCTTATTTTTCTCTTATTACATCTTTCATCTTAAAGTCTACTTTGTCTGATACCAGTACCACAACTCCAGTCTTTGTTTTGGTTTCCATTTGCATGGAATATCTTTTTCCAGCCCCTCACTTTCAGTGTATGTATGCCCTTATCAATGAGGTGTGTTTCTTGCAAGCAGTATATAGATGGCTTCTGTTTTTGTACTCATTCAGCTAAGCTGTGTCTTTTAATGGGAGAATTTAATTCATTAACATTCAATATTATTATTAATATGTGCAGATTTCTCCCTGTCATTTTGTTAGCTATTTTCTCAGTCATTTTTTGTTCTCTTGTTTCTGTTTGTCTCTCTTTAGTTATCTTTTAGTTATCCTGATACAATACTCCCATTAGTACTTCTTGTAGAGTTGGTCTAGTGTTGGTGAATTTCAATTTTTGTTTATCTGAGAATACTTTTATTTGCTCTTCCCACTTGAAGGATAATCTTGCTGGATATAGTATTCTTGGTTGAAATTGTTTTTCTTTTAATGTTTGGATACATCTTCCGATTCTTTCCTTGCCTGCATTGTTTCAGTTGAGAGGTCCCATTTTAGCTTATTCAGATAAACTTTATAAGTAACTTGACATTTCTCTTTTTTTATTTTATAGCCTTTGTCTTTGATTTTTACAAATCCAGCTATGATGTGCCAGGGGGAAGGATCTTTTTGTGTTGATTGTATTGGGGTTCCTTTTTATTTCTTGGGTCTGAATTTCTCCATGCTTCTCTATATTTGGAAAATTTTTCAGATAATATTTTATCAAAGAGATTTTCCATTCCTTTAGCAGATTCCTCACCTTCTGGAATAACAGTTATATGGATATTTGGGAGTTTCATTGTGTCTAGAATTTCCTGTATATTGTCCACAATCAGTGTGGCTTCCTTGAACACACTACTTAAAATAAAAATTCCTGCCCTGTACAGCTTATATCTCCCCTCTTTGTTCTGTTCACTTATAGCACTTCCCAGCATCTAAGACTCAATATATTTAATTTATATAAATTATATTTATATATCATCTGGTTTATTATGTGTCTCCCCACTGGAATGTAAGTTAAAAGAGCAAATGACTTATATCGCACGGCTTATAATACTTCCCTAAGTGCCTAGAAGAAGACAAGGCAGCTCTTTTTCAAATTAATGAATAAATTTTAGAAACACGTAGTGAGGCCAGGACCTTTTGTGGTCACTCCACAGAAGCAAGATGTGTGTCAAAAAATTTTAGGTTCAGTTCCTGACAGTGAGAAAACTACAAATAGATCAAGAAGATGAAAAGTTTTATTGCTCACATAATGTCACTTTATGGGAAGAGAAGGGCTAGTTCCTAAGCAGGTCTGAAAGTGGCCAGAGAGCAGGGAAATTATATTGGCTTAAGATTTTATTATGGTTAGGGGATGGGTTTGAGATGAGGATTCCCATGCACAGGTGAGGGCTTCTACTAGTGGCAAAAAAGGAAGCATCAGAACTTATCAGCTTGCCCAGATGTAAGGCAGAAAGGGAAGGGCAAGAG